TTTAGATAAGTGCGAAGTGTTGCATTTTGGTAAGGTGAACGAGGGCAGGACTTACAAAGTTAATGGTAGGGACCTGGGGAGTGTCATCGAAATGAGAAACCTAGGGGTTCAGGTAGATAGTTCCTTGAAAGTTGTATCACAGATGGACAGGGTGGTACAGAGGCATTTGGCTCGCTTGCCTCCATTGCTCAGACCATTGAGTATCGGGGTTGGGACATCAAGTTGCAGTTGTATAGGACGTTGGTAAGGCCAATTTTGGAATACTGTGTACAGCTCTGGTCGCCCTCCTATAGGAAGGACATTATTTAATTGGAGAGGGTGCAGAAAAGATTTTCAAGGATGTTACTGGGACTGGAGGGTTTGACCTATTAGGAGAGCTGGATAGGCTGGGACTTCTACCACTGGAGCATAGGAGGCTGAGGGGTGACATTATGGAGGTTTATAAAATCATGAGGGGCATAGATGAGGTGAATAGTAAAGGTCTTTTCCCAAGGGTGGGGGAGTTCAAAACTAGAGACCATAATTCAAAGGTGAGATGAGAAACATTTAAAAGGGACTGGAGTGTGGTATGTATATGGAATGAATTGCCAGGGGAAGTGGTAGATGCAGGTACAATTAAACTGTTTAAAAGGCATTTGGACAGGTACATGAATAGGAAAGGTTTGTAGGCATATGAGCTAAGTGAAGGCAAATAGGACTTGTTTATTCTGGGAATCTTGGTCTGCATGGACGAGTTGTACCAAAGGGTCTGTTTCTGTGCTGTATGACTCTATGAAAGAAGATTGATGTATGCAGAGCAGTGGACGTTGTCTATATGGATTTCAGCAAAGTGTTCGACAAGGTTCTACATAGTAGTCTGGTGAGTATGCTTAGATCACATAGGATCTAACGGGAGTTAGCCAATTAGATACAAAATTGGCTTGAAGATAGGAGACAGAGGGTGGTGGATTTCTGAAGAAGGGTCCCAACCTGAAACGTCAGCTTTCCTGCTCCTCTGATGCTGCCTGCCTGCTGTGTTCCTCCAGCTCCACACTGTGTTATCTCTGACTCCGGCATCGGCAATTCTTACTATCTCTCGTGGTGGTAGAAGGTTGCTTTTTTGGACTGGAGGCCTGTGACCAGCAGTGTGCCACAAGGATCAGCGCTGCACCACTGCTTTCTATCATTTATATAAATGATTTGGATGTGAATATAGGAGGTATGGTTAGTGAGTTTGTAGATGACACCAAAATAGGTGGTGTAGTGGACAGTAAAGAAGGTTATCTAAGAGTACAGTGGGACCTTGATCAGATGGGCCAATGGGCCAAGGAGTGGCAGATGGAGTCTACTTTAGATAAATGTGAGGTATTGCATTTTGGTAAGGCAAACCAGGGTAGGACTTATTCAATTAATAATAGGGTCCTGGGGAGTGTTGGCGAACAGGGGGCCCTGGGGGTGCAGGTGCATAGTTCCTTCAAAGTGGTAGACAGGGTGGTGAAGAACGCATTTGGCACCCTTGCCTTCATTGATCAGAACACTGATTATAGGCATTGGGATGTCATGTTGCGGCTGTACAGGACATTGGTGAGGCTACTTTTGGAATACTGCACACAGTTCTGGTCATCTATCTATAGGAAGAATGTTGTTAAACTTTAGAGGGTGCAGAAAAGCTTTACAAGGATGTTGCCAGGACTGGAGGCTTTGAGTTATAGGGAGAGGCTGAATAGGCTGGAGCTTTTTTTCCCTGGAGTGTCAGAGGCTGAGAGGTGAACTTGCAGAGGTTTATCAAATCATGAGGGGCATGGATATGGTGAATACCCAGTCTTTTTCCTAGGGTGGGGAGTCCGAAACTAGAGGGCATAGTTTTAAGGTGAGAGAGGAGGGATTTAAAAATGACTGAGGGGTAACTTTTTACGCGGGGGTGGTGCATGTATGAAACAAGCTGCCAGAGGAAGTAGTAGAGGCGAGTACAATTACAACATTTAAAAGGCATCTAGGTGGGTAAATGAATAGGCAGGGTTTAGAGGGATATGGGCCAAATGCTGGCAAATGGGATTAGGTCAGATTGGAATGTCTGTTTGGTATGGTTGAGTTGGACTGAATGGTCTGTTTTCATGCTGCATGGGTCATGCTTTATAACCCTATAAGTGTTTGCTCACTGTTGTGGCACGTGGCATGACACTTTCATCCACTTGCACAGCTCTTCATCCCATCACCTACATTCCATGTATGGATTCTAGGGGACAGGAAATACAGATTGAAGAGATGGTTTTTACATAAACCTAAGACATATACAATGAAAAAATACATTGATAACATCATCTACACAGAAATACCACCATCAAGCAGGCTTCTGAAGATGCAGTTCCAGTGCCTGTAACTTTGAGTGATGTCCTGTAGCACACTTCTGCAAGGACAGTGGTTGTGGTCTCCTGCACTCTAGTACATGACCTACCAGAGGTGAAGCACTAGATCAACACAATTTATTGGAAAGAGAAAGAAGGAAAGGAGGAGAAATAAGAAGGCACAGTGTAGAATTGTAACAGTGCTGGGCAGGGAGTTGGCTGAGGCTAGCTCAAGAATCAAGACTTTCATCAGGATGGTGTGAATGACAAGGTCAATCTCATCTAAACATATCTCACCTGAATGTTCCTTAACAAGCAGTTTGCATGCTCTGTACTCATTTTGATCTGGCTGCATAAACACATCCATTGAGTGTACAGCTGTTGAACCGTTCCACATATCTGTCTTTTGTTTCATCCCTGTCCAACCCATGCCTTGTTGAAAACCTGTTACATTTGTCACTTTTCCCAGTTCTGATGAAAAGTCACACACCTGAAACATTAACTCTGACATCTTTTCATAAATGCTGTTTGAATTGTTGAGTATTTTGAGCATACTCTGTTTTTATTTTAATTTTCCAGAGTCCTCACTCTGCTTGTCAATCTGTGTCCAGTGACCAATTCTGCCATCTCCACCTGGGCCTGTTTAGTTTGGCTGCTTCCATTTGGAAACAGGAGCCAGTAGCCTCTCACATACTGACTTCAAAATCACTCAGGGGCTGTATCAGCGAACCATGAGGCAGCCATGTCACTAGTGACAGGGTGCTGTCTCTCTTCCTGCTGGGTCCTCCATTTCTTTCAAGACAGTTGCTGCACACATTTAAATTGCACTTCAGGCCACTCCTTATCCATGCAAGCCATCTCTGCTTAAAATTTTAACTTTGCACAAGAAAACAATCAGCTACAAACCTGAAAGTAATTGATGACCCCTTTAAATAAGGGTATTTCTATGCAATTGGTAATTTGTCTAGACTTCTACATTGGCCATGTTTCTGAAAATTTGAACTGATAGGGGCCTTGTTGTGGCTCAGTGGTTGTGTACCTACCCCTGGCCCCAGAAGGCCCAGGTTCAAGTCCCACCCCCTTAAAAAGTTCTCTCCCATTATTTTTGTTTTGTCCATGTGGGCGTCGCTGGGTAGGCCAGCAATTATTGTTAAGATTCTTTCTTAGTCACTCAAAGTTCCAAGTTCAAGAATAATCAAGCTGCTCTTTCCAAACTTTCTCCAAACATTTCTCACCTTTTCAAAAAATGTCTAATTATAACAGATTATTTCAAGCCATAAGAATCTACTGTAAATAGATTATATTTCCTCATGGTGTATCCTGCTACTTGATTAGAATTATGGCTGATCTCGATGTTGTAGAGAAAAAAATTCAGGTGGAGAGATGTCCAGGGCTGAATAGATTGGTTGACTTCCATCATTATCATTAAAAATGTTTTCAATTGCATAATTAGAACCTTGTATGATTCTTTGTCTCAAGTATTTCACTTGGATTTTGAAACCTGCAGCAAAATGATGGATGGCATCACTGCTGATTGCACTGAGAAATATGAATTTATCTGTTTTACTGCCTGTACAGGTATTTCTGCTATAACACGTGTTTCCTTAACGCGAATTGGCTGTAATGTAATTGAAGAATAGTGAACACTGTTTGGATAACACGAACTTTCTACTGTACAGTATAACGATTTCCCTATAATGCAATTTTTTATGGCGATTTTCTATAGTGCGAGGTCACACAAGAACGCAACTGTCGTGCAATAGGAGAACTACATGTAGCAAGAATTTCAACTGTTTTCTCCAAAATGGCCTACTGGCAAAGTGTGGCATGTTCCCTGAGAATCGAAGCCTTCAATAACATTATGATCTGAGAACCTGAGCTGAGGTCAATTTTTTCAAGTTGAGGTAGCTGTGTGTTGAATTTTGACAGTAAACATTTCTAAGCACTTACTTCAAACACTTTTAACAACTATTAGCAACCTTTAAATGCTTTAACAAATTGTGTGCTCAGTGACTGTTACTGGAGATAATATTGGACAAAGTACCTCAGTTTAAGCAGGATCTTAGAACTTGAAAGGGCACTTAATAAAGCGTATAGTATCCTAGGCTTTATTAATAGGGATATACAGTACAAAAGCAGAAGGTTATGCTGAACTTGTATAATAGAAGAGTAGAATATCCTTTTATTGTCACATGTACTCCATTGTAGGAGTACAGTAAAGCTTTTACAATGTCTGCTTTCTTATGGCGATATCTTAGGTACAAGTACCTAGATACATTCCTTGGACACAGGAGTGGAATAGAAGTAATTGAAAAATAAGTTAAAAATAGAACATCATTAAAGGATTGACATTAAAGTAAAGTAGGAAATTTTAAATAGACATTACATTGTAGCAGTTCAGTACAGGGCCTCCGCAAATGGTCTGACTGCCCATTGCCAGACTCCAATTCAACAGCCGTCCCTGCTCCACTCCAAGCCCCAGTCCACTCCATACTGACACTCAGCTGCTCCAAGGTAAGTTCCAGGACGCTTCCCTCGCGTGGGACTCGCTGCCTGTGCGCTTCTCCAGGGCTGCTTCCCCACTTGCCACTCTGGGGCTCGCAGCCCATGTGCTACACCAGGGCTCGCTGCTTGTGCTGTTCCAAGGCTCACAGCCTACACACTGTACCAGGGTTCGCTGCTCACACTGATCTGGGGCTTGCAGCCCATGCGCTGCTCCAGGGCTCACTATTGGGGGACTTGCTGCTGGATCCTGTTGCTGCTCCAGGATTTACTTCCAGTGCTAAGGGAAGAGAAGTAGGAAAAAAATAAAGAAAAAGAAAGAAAAGAACAGGCAGAATAGAGGAGCTCCAGCAGGAGCGTCCTACTCTGCCGCCATTTTGCTGTAGATGACACAAGTATAAGATACAAATTTGACCTCAGCTGGAGTATTGCATCCAGTCCTTGGAGTCACACTTTAGGAGAGATATGGAGGCATTGGAAAAAAATACAGATGAGAACGGTTCCAGGGATGATAAAGTTCAGGTAGGAATATAGACGGGAGAAATTGGGACTGTTTTCCTTGGAAAAGAGGAGGTTGAGTGAAGATCTGATAGAAATATTCAAACTTATAAGAGGTTTGGACAAACTAAAAGGGGAAAATTTTTCCACAGATGAAAGAATCAAGAAATGAGAGATCAAAGATTGAAAGTAATTAGTAAAAGAAGCAACAGTAATATTAGGAAAAGTATTTTCACACAAGTGGTTAATGTCTGGAATGCATTTCCTGAGATGACAGAGGCAGCTGTTCAAAAAGGAAATATACAGTTATTTGAAAAGGAATAATGTGTATGGTTATAGGGAAAAGGCAGAAGAATAACACTAAGTAAAATGCTCATTTGGAGAGCTGATGCAGACACAGCTGACTGAATGGCCTCCTTGTGCCCTGTAAAAGTTCTGTGTTCTGTTTCTACATTAGTCATCTTGGCTTTAGCATCTGAATTTCTAACATTGAGATTTACATGCATAGTTTAAAGTACACCATTCTTTGAGAATAATCCCACTTTTAGCTGATAACTATTTTAGTATGACTAAAACAGTGAACTTCAGTGCTTTATTTGGCTGTGGTTTTAAATTTCATGATTCTAGCAATGTCCTAGCAATTACGATCAGCATCAAATTTTAAAATCCTAATGATTTAAATAGGTATGAAATAAGCATATTTTAGTTCTATAATGAAAAAAGGCAGTGTCTTAGATAACAAGGTGTAGAGCTGGATGAATACAGCAGGCCAAGCAGCATCAGAGGTGCAGGAAAGCTGACGTTTCGGGCCTAGACCCTTCATTTTATTTCTTTTGGTTTCATTGACCTTTACTGATTAAATTATCTTTCTGAACCATTCTTCGTTTCAATAGTAAATTTGTTAAATAACGAGGGTATTATTGCTAAGTGACCATAATTGTATTGTTCAAGCTTAAACAACCTTAACACCAAATTAAAGTTCCGATATTAACCTTGTTTCAATGTTTTATTAAAATGTAGTTTTTGTTTTAATTTTCAATTTAAAAATTTCAATTACTGGTAGATACATGCACTGCAATTAAAATACTAAGAAAATATAAACATTTATTTGGCTACAAAATACAAATTCTTTTCAAAATATATTCATATTTAAAGTAAATGATTAACTCCATCCCTACAATCTTGCCAAGGGCTTTTATCCTTTTTCCTGTTAATATTCATCCCATCTGATATTATTGTTATTTCAAAATCAATTCAAATTCCTAGTTCAAAAAGGGCAGCTTGTAATTTATAAATAATGTTGTCTCTTTATAAACATTCTAATCATGATTTAGTAGTTTAAAGATTTATTAGTCTCAGCTGTAACATCATCATGAGTTCAATGTAGGACTTTTTACCAATTCCTGTGTGTGCTGTAATTTTGCAGTATTAATTGAGACATTTAACAACAAGATGTGTTTCTGCTGATAAGTGCGTATTACTACATTTGTCGAGCCATTGGACCGGCACCTTGGGTTGGTACAGCTTACTATATTGATTAAATTCCTTGGGACAGATAGAGAAACTGGGACAGAGAAACAGAGAGTTTTAGAAAGCCTAACGGTGGGACAGAGGCAAAAGGGAATAGTGATCAAGAGAGGGTGGAGAGACAGATGAGTGATCACACAGGGAAACACAGGGGCAGGAGTTTCAGATGATGTGGTTTTCCACCCCATCAATTAAACAGTAAGCATGGAATACATACACACCAATGCCGGCTGAGTCCAGGATTGATAATTGGCCCTAGGCAGGCACCCTCAGTTGGGAGGACATCCCATCTCAGAGAGCTGCCTGCCAATCTGATGGTGCATTGGGGCTAGGATTGGGATTACAATTTGTCCCTATATTTAAAGCCCCAGAGTCCAGGACCAGGTAACAGTAACAATGGGCGTTCTTGAGGTAGGATTCAGAGCTTTGGCCCAGGGAGATGCAAAGAGAGGATTAATAGTCTTAATGGAGCAGCCAGGAGAAAGGGGGCATGTGCATGGGGCAGACCTTGTAGGTGAGGCCCCAATGTGAAAATGAACCCATTGAATGACGCACCACAACATTTCAGCAAAGACTTTCCAAGCTTGTGTCCACTCCTGAACCCCGCCTACCAAACTCAAAATTGAGGCAGGAAATGGCCCTAAGTCTCCATTAGTTATGCACTTAAGAGCTTATTTTGGGACAAGTGTGAGAGGGCTGGCTTAGGCCTTGCCTTTCCCACCACCAAGTGTGGACTGTCAAGCCAGGCAGGAGGCCAGTAAGATGGCCATCAGGTGAATTTCACTGTCCTCTCTGTACTTCCTCAAAGCTGCGCAGCCACACGGCCACTCAGGAAGTCCCACTGACCGGACTTCTGCATCGATTTGGAGATTCACACAGTGCAAGAAAAAATTAGTGGGAATATAGGACACCAGATAGACAGAGAAACACAATGAAAGAGTGGATTGATACACAAAATGGGTACACCAACACATACTTGGCATAGGAGACAGATTACCTTAACACACACTCAGAGTGAGAGAGAGAGAGGCAAGACTCAGAGTGAGTAAGACCGATGGATATGTTGGAATAGGTTGAAAGACCCAGAGACAGAAAGAGGGAAATAGGAGTTGCTTTATGTAGACAAACAGAAATGATTTTCCCCCCTCACCTTTCTTTTACAGCAGAGAGCATGCTAAATTGCAAAAGCTCCTTTGAATGCATTTTTTTAAAAAATAGCATTAACATTTAAAGATTGTCTTCCAAATCAGAAGATTTGCAGTACAAATACTTACAGATACTTTGCAAGTTTAGGTAAATTTGTAGAGAGATGTTTTAGGTAAAGAGATCCATTTAGTTATTGTGCAGAATCTCCTGACCAAGCTCTGAGCCTGCTAATATTAGCTTTAAAATATGTTTAAAAATCAGAAATAAAAAGCATGATCATACACCTCTCTGGAGTGAACTGAGTCACACTACAACTACTGATTTTTAGCAGGAGTTCAGAATCTGCAGGTGCAGTGTCAGTCTGATCTTTAATAGCAGCAGGTATCTCAGAATTCTCAAAATCCAGATCAAGCTTATATAGCTGAGGTACAAAGAAATATGAAGCACTGGATGCGAGAAAGCTTAAAGGAAAGAGAGAAGGAATGAAATGATGAAAGGAAGTTTGAAAAAAGGAATAGACAGGTTTGATGAGTATTTGAAAGAGGAAGGGAATAAGAAAAGCAGAAATAGAAAGACAACTGGGACAGGAGAAAGCAAATCAGATGGAGAGAATCAAAAAGAGAGGCCAAGTAAACTAAATAGGAGAAACAAATTATGACGGTGACAAGAGATTAGAGGAATTAAGAAGCATGTGTCACTATTCTCCAGAGTAAACCAGCCCATTGGTGTTAATATTCCTCCAAGTTGACAATAAATACATATAAAGAAAATTATTTGTTTTGTTGTCTATACACATCACATTTATATGAGTTGAACTTCAGTTCATAATAAATTCTAATTGTGCTTCTATAACCATTATTGTTTTGCCTCATGTTAATCGAAGCCTGCACTGGCTTGGTTAATGACTTGTATTTGCACATTAACAAAACTTTAATCATGTATGTGTGCCACTGAATCCATTAAAAATGTATAATTTGTTCACTTTTTTTACCAAGAAAAGATTTCTATATGTATCAACGTACTCTATTAGCCCTCATGGCCGGTACATGGAAATTACCTCATAAATGTACTATGTATTGTGACTAATAACTGACACTGCTAACTAATGTTCACTGAAACGCATGTGGAATATTTTGTGGTGATCCTGTGCTCAGAAGCAGTGAAGTCTGATACGTAGATAGGTAGTCTATTCCTATTTTCCTGGTGTATTTTGGCAAGTCTGGTATATTATAGTTTTCATATGTGTACATCATTTAACTACACCTGAAAATCAGTTCTGATCTTATCTAAGGTCAGAAATTACACGACACCAGCTTACAGTCCAACAGGTTTATTTGAAAACACAAGCTTTTAGAGCCTCACTCCTTCTTCAGGTGTTAGTGAGAGAGGTCGTATCAGACACAGAATTTATAAGTAAAACATCAAAGGGTCACACTACTGATGAGGCTGTATTAAACAAACCTAAGATGCTGTTAAATCTTTAATCAGTTAGAAGGTTTTAATTGATTAATGTGTACATGTAAATCCCCAAATTCCTTTGAAGTCACTGTCCTGAGAGAAATAAAGGTTTTATTAGCATAAAGAAGAGGTGACATTTTAGGTCAGACAATGCATGTTAGGTGTGAGACCTTGTTTAGAACCTGTTTGTATTTTGGTTTGGAGTCAGAGTGGTTTTATTTCTAAAGTAGGAATCTATAAAATGCCACATTGACTGACTTGTCTGTAAATTGTGTGCATTTTGAATAAAAAAGAATGTATCTGCAAATAAAAATTCACCCCATAGATTCAAATGTGTGTATGCTTGAGGGACTGTGTGTATGAGAGAGGATCTGTGTGAGAGAAAGTGTGTGTGTGTGCGCATTCATGTGCATGTCTTCAGGAATAGTGCCAGAAGACTAGAGACTAGCAAATGTTGTCCCCTTGTTCAAGAAGGGGAGTAGAGACAACCCTGGTAATTATAGACCAGTGAGCCTTACTTCGGTTGTGGGTAAAGTGTTGGAAAGGATTATAAGAGATAGGATTTATAATCATCTAGAAAGGAATAATTTGATTAGGGATAGTCAACACGGTTTTGTGAAGGGTAGGTCGTGCCTCACAAACCTTATTGAGTTCTTTGAGAAGGTGACCAAACAAATGGATGAGGGTAAAGCGGTTGATGTGGTGTATATGGATTTCAGTAAAGCGTTTGATAAGGTTCCCCATGGTAGGCTATTGCAGAAAATACGGAGGCATGGGATTGAGGGTGATTTAGCGGTTTGAATCAGAAATTGGCTAGCTGTAAGAAGACAGAGGGTGGTGGGTGATGGGAAATGTTCATCCTGGAGTTCAGTTACTAGTGGTGTACCTCAAGGATCTGTTTTGGGGCCACTGCTGTTTGTCATTTTTATAAATGACCTGGATGAGGGCGTAGAAGGATGGGTTAGTAAATTTGTGGATGACACCAAAATCGGTGGAGTTGTGGATAGTGCGGAAGGATGTTGCAGGTTACAGAGGGACATAGATAAGCTGCAGAGCTGGGCTGAGAGGTGGCAAATGGAGTTTAATGCGGAAAAGTGTGAGGTGATTCACTTTGGAAGGAGTAACAGGAATACAGAGTACTGGGCTAATGGTAAGATTCTTGGTAGTGTGGATGAGCAGAGAGATCTCAGTGTCCATGTGCATAGATCATTGAAAGTTGCCACGCAGGTTGATAGCGTTGTTAAGAAGGCGTACGGTATGTTAGGTTTTATTGGTAGAGGGATTGAGTTTCGGAGCCATGAGGTCATGTTGCAGCTGTACAAAACTCTGGTGCGGCCGCACTTGGAGTATTGCATACAGTTCTGGTCACCGCATTATAGGAAGGATGTGGAAGCATTGGAAAGGGTGCAGAGGAGATTTACCAGGATGTTGCCTGGTAGGAGGGAAGGTCGTATGAGGAAAGGCTGAGGGTCTTGAGGCTGTTTTCGTTAGAGAGAAGAAGGTTAAGAGGTGACTTGTTCGAGACATACAAGATGATCAGAGGATTAGATAGGGTGGACAGTGGGAGCCTTTTTCCTCGGATGGTGATGGCTAGCATGAGGGGACATAGCTTTAAATTGAGGGGTGATAGATATAGGACAGATGTCAGAGGTAGGTTCTTTACTCAGAGAGTAGTAAGGGTGTGGAGTGCCCTGCCTGCAAAAGTAGTAGACTTGCCAACTTTAAGGGCATTTAAATGGTCATTGGATAAACATATGGATGATAATGGAATAGTTTAGGTTAGATGGGCTTCAGATTGGTTTCACAAGTCGGCGCAACATCGAGGGCCGAAGGGCCTGTACTGCGCTGTAATGTTCTATGTTCTAAAGTGTACCTGTGCACACGCGTGTGCGTGTGTGTGTGTGTGTAGTGTGGTGAGGTCACATGAACCCAAGATCCCGGTTGAGGCTGTCCTCATGGGTACCGAACTTGGCTAATAGCCTCTGCACGGCGACTCTGCATTGTTGTGTATCCCGAAGTCCACCTTGGAGGATGTTTATCTGAAGATCCGAGGCTGAATGTCCTTGACCGCTGAAGTGTTCCCCCACTGGGAGAGCACATCCCTGTCTGGCGATTGTTGCGCAGTGTCCATTCATCCATTGTCATAGCATGGTATATTGGTGAAATTCTTTGATCTTTTACTTACAAATTCTGTGTCTGATACTTCCTCTCCCACTAACACCTGAAGGAGGAGTGAGGCTCCGAAAGCTTGTGTTTTCAAATAAACCTGTTGGACTATAACCTGGTGTCATGTGATTTCTGACCTTGTCCACCCTTTTCAAACACCGATACCTCCACATCATGATCTTATCTAAGGCATGACATTTATTTACAATCACTCACCGGAGGGAGATTTAGCAACGCTTCATCAATCAGGATATCCATCTGTATCTCCTTGAACCAAACTTTATGTTACCAGGCCTGTTGTGCTCTGTTTCTCCTCACCACTTGTCACAGGTTTGTGGAATGCTACATTTCGATAAATATTCAAATCAGTCTGTACAGTATGCTATGTTCACTCAATAAAAGATATGATTAAAGCTGAAGTGTCTTGTAAGTAATTTGTTCCAAATATGAATTTATTTGTAATTGGGCACATTGAAATATTTGCAATTTCCTCTATAACAAGGTAAATGTTATCGTCACAATTGCTGAGTTACTTTCCTTTTGTTTCAAAACATATTTGAAGTGTGCAGTTTCAAGATAATTGGTAGCAATAATGTAAAAAAGAAAAAAGTAGTAATAAGCTGTTTCACCACAAAAAAGACATGATTTCCTACTTGGCAGAGGAAGAGAAACAGCTTCGTTAATGCAGTTTTTAACATTCAAGGCAGAATCTGAAAATTGATTTTCCATAAGACGGTTTGTGAAATGAAAATTCACAAGCAGCTACAGAACAACGGCCAATCATAATATGCCTGCAATCATGGTTGCTTCATATTTCCCAAGCTGCTAAATTACCACTTACTCTTATAATTGATGAAAAGTTCATGAATCCGTCTGTGGTTGAACAATACTTGCATAATAGCTCCACAAACCTGAAGGTTCTAATATACACATATGATTCATTCTTAGGGGAAAATGTCCATTTCATCACATTTACTAGAAACAAACAATGCTGTATGATTTTTTTTTCAAAAAACCTGTTCAACTCCTGTGGTTAAATACTGCAGATCTCAAAGAAATGGAGATCTTTCGAGTTTGGTAGTTGTCTCACACGCTGCCTGAAGAAATGGTGAGACACCCACAGCTGAATCTTAGGCAGAAGGTCCATTATCCTTTCTGATCATTAGGTCTGTAAGACAACAGCAGTAGGCCTTGATCTGCTATCAGGTCCCCATGGCCCGAAGTTCCTCTTGAGAGAGCCAGTCAAAGGCCATCAGCTCCTGTGCATAGCCGTGCCATGTAGAAATCGATAGCTTTGCTGTAAACACAACCCAGAGATGAAAGATGCTGGCCAAAGATAGGTGATTTAATGGATTGGGTGTGGGGGAGGGGCTGATGGTGGTTTCTATGAGTGGAGATCATGGAGAGAGAAAGAGGAATGGGTGTTCAGAGCAAGACAAAGAGCATTCTTAGTGGCCATTGTCTTGTTCACATGCACTTGATCAAGCACTCAGTGCCTTTGATGGAGGCTGCCCCCATCCAAGCCAGCAACCAGCCTGTAGTCTTTTTCCCCTCTGGGTCATTAATGAACATTCAGTAGTGGTGCAGAAAGGTCAGGTATGGATCTTTTTGCACGGAATTCAATTCCAGTGAAGGTAGGAAAGCATTGGGTATAGATACTCTTTCTCAATGACTAATTAAATGACCTTCCCGCCTCTTAACCAACCTCATCTAGAACTAGAGGATTCCACCAAAGTATTGCTTGTATTGATTTGCACTAAAGCATCAAATGAGCATGTGGCAACTAAAAAATCTGTGAGTTGACTTCTCTCCAATTTATCAACCAACTGATTTATGCTAAACAAATGGAACCATAAGTTGAGTTCAGTTAGACTGAGTCACAAATTCTTCCAAGTGTATTTAGGTTTCATGATGCAGTGTGTTTATAATAATCAGTTGTATTTATAAATTTCAGACCTGTGACACACAAAGAAAATGGGCTGAATTTTACCAAAAATCAACTAAATGTCAATTCCAGGGAGTTTCATGGAGGGTTTCTCACTGTGAACCAAAATGAGTTACTTCAAGTAATTCCCCGTTGCTCACCTTATATACATCACATGCCTAAGGTACTGTGCTTGCACTATCATGTGCTCACCAGCCGTGGTAATACTCATCATTGCAAGGACCTTCCAGGAATCATACTACCAGTGCCGTATTTAAAGCCCAGCCTGCACATCAGGTCAAATGCTGCTATCCAGCAAAAGGATTTCATCATGCGTGAAATGGGTAGAAAACAATAAAGGAAAATTTCAGAGGGCACATAGATGGCATGGGCAATTTTGTAAACCACTTCATTTGAAAAGAAATCTCATAGTTATAAATAAATTGCTATTTTACATCATCACCTGTCTGATCGACTGTCAAAGTAACTGCTACTACAGAATTAAGCTGCAGAGAAAGACTGCCTGTCTATTGTCCATACCATGTCAGAACCTCGTCTGAAGAACAGCCTCATACTCAGTATGGCATATCTTCTCATTGTTGAATTTGGGAGGATCACATATTGGAAAGTCTTCAAATAGTAAATTAAATTATAAATTCAAATAGTAAATTAAATTATAACTCCAACCTTTATTGAATGATAGGAAAGCAAAGAAAGAATAAACAGAAAAACTGCATTTCCTTCGGGGAATAAACTGGGCCTGCTTCCCTTTCAAGCAACTATAAAGTTGCAGTAAGTGAATGATACACTATAATACAACACAATACAGCACAGTAACAGCCCCTTTGTCCCAACCAAGCATGTGCCAATTCCTGTTCCTTATTTAGACCCGCTACTTATTGCCCATGCACGGTTTCTATCTCTCTATTTGCCTCCCATTCATGTGTCTATCAAGATACGCCTTAAACATTGCTAATGTGCCTGTTTCCACCACCTCCACTGGCAGTGTGTTCCAGGCACCCACTACCCTCTGTGTGAAAAATTCTTCCCACACTTCTCCCCTATACTTTCCCCCTCTCATCTTGAACCTGTGCCCTCTTGTAGCTGACCTTTCCACTTCGGGAAAATGCCTCTGACTATCCACCGTATCTATGGCTCTTATAATTTTGTAAACCTCTATCAGGTCGCCCCTCAGCCTCCGTCTTTCCAACGAAAGCAATCCGAGCTTATCCAACTTTTCTCATAACTAAAACCATCCAGACCAGGTTTATCATCCTGGTAAACCTTGTACGCATCATGTCCAAAGCATCCACACCCTTCTAGTAGTGTGGTGATCAGAACTGCATGCAATATTCCAAATGTGGCCTAACTAAAGTTGTATACAGCTGTAACATAACTTGCCAACTTTTATATTCTGTGCCCCAGACGATGAAAGCAAACGGGTTGTATGCCTTCTTGACCACCTTATCCACCTGTGTTGCTACTTTCAGGGATCTATGGACCTCTACACCCAGATTCCTCTGTATGTCAATGCTTCTAATGGTTCAAAAACAAAGTTGCTGGAAAAGCTCAGCAGGTCTGGCAGCATCTGTGGAGGAGAAAACAGAGTTAACACTTCAGGTCCGGTGACCCTTCCTCAGAACTTCTAATGGTTCCACCATTTATTGTATAATTCTCAACTGAATTTTATCTTCCACAATGCATCACTTTGCATTTGTCCAGATTAAACTCCATCTGCCATTTCTCTGCCCAATTTTGCAATCTATCTATCTATATCCTGCTGTATCTTTTGACAGTCCTCCTCATTATCTGCAACTCCACCAATTTTGATGTCATCCACAAATTTACTTGTCAGACCCTCTACATTTTTCTCCATATCATTTATATATATTACAAACAACAAAGGTCCCAGCACTAATCCCTGCAAAAAAATCACTCGTTACTGATCTCCATTCCAAAAAAGCACCCTTCCACCACTACTGTCTGTCTTCTATGACCAAGCCAGTTTTGTACCCATCTAGCCAGATCACCTCAGATCCCATGAGACTCTACCTTCTGTATTAGCCTGCCATGAAGTACCTTATCAAATGCCTTACAAAAAAGAAAGCTCATGTAGACAACATCCACTGCCCTTCCCTCATCAATCATTCTTGTCACCTCCTCAAAACCTTAATCAAGTTGGTGAGATATCACCTTCCCCACACAAACCCATGCTGCCTATTACTAACAAGTTCATTTGCTTCCAAATGTGAATAAATCCTGTTTCTACGTATCTTCTCCAACAGTTTCCCGACCACTGACATCATGCTCACTGACCAGTAATAACCTGGATTATCTCTGTTTATCCTTCTTAAAAAGGGAACAACATTAGCCATTCTCTGAAAACTTGCCTGAGGCCAAAGAGGATGCAAAAGTATCTGTTAAGACCCCAGCTATTTCCTCCTTTGTCTCTCACAGTATCCTGGGATAGATCCTATCCGGCCCTATGGACATGTCTACCTTAACACATTTCAAGATACTCAACAATTCTTCCTTCATTATATTGACCTGCCTGAGAGTATTCACTCACCTTTTCCTAACCTCAACATTCTGCATGTTCCTCTCTTTGTGAATACCAATGTAAAGTGCTTGTTAAGGATCTCACCCATTTCCTCCAGCTGCACACATAACCTCCCTCCTTTCCTCTTTCCCTAGCTACCATCTTGCTCCTAATATATATGTCTTGGGATTCTCCTTAACTCTGCTGGCCAAGGATATTTCATAGCCCCTTTTAGCTCTCCTAACTCCCTATTTGAGCTCCTTCCTACTTTAGATTCTTCACAAACCTTGTTTGTTTTTAGTTGCCTTGACCTTAGGTATGCTTCCTTTTGTTTTGACTGAGTTGATAATTTCCCTGTAATACAAGGCTCCCAAAGCTTGTCATTCCTGCCTTTCATTTTTACAGGAACATGCCTGTCCTGCACTCTAATCATCTGGTCCTTAAAAGACTCCCACATGTCAGATGTAGATTTACCCTCAAACTCACAGTCCTAATCTACATTCTCCAATTCTTGTCCAGTTCAGTTTTAGTTGGCCTTCCTCCAATTTAACATCTTCATCCATGGCTTATTCTTGTCCTTATCCAAAAGTATCTGAAAACTTACAGAATTATGGTCACTATTCCCAAAATGTCACCATCCTCATTGGGCTATCCACATACCATTTCAAAAATCTCTCCTGGACATACCTAACAAATTGCTCCCCATCCAATGCCTCAGCACTAAGGGAGTCCGAGTCATTATGGAGGAACTTAAAATCACCCACCACAATAACTCTTTTATTTTCATATCTTTGCAGAATCTGACTAAATATCTCTTCCTCTATCTCCTGCTGGCAACTGGGAGGTCCATACTACAATCCCAGCATTGTGATTGAACCTTTCAAATTCCTGAGCTCTAACCATAAATGCTACGCTGCAAGATCCCTCCAGGGTGTCCTCCCTCAACACAGCTATAATATGATCCCTAGCCAGTAATGCAACTCCCCCACCTTATTTGCTTCCTTCTCTGTCCCATTGAAAACATCAATATCATGGAACATTAAGCTGCTAATCCCATCCCTCTTTTAACCATATCTCTGTGATAGCAAAAACATCATAATTTCATGCATGCATAATTGCATGATAACTTCACCGAAGTCACATCTATTAGAAGCAGTTGTTGCATTTTATGCTGCACCACTCTATTATGCTCCTCGAAAGACTGCTGGCACTCTCCCAGTTTGTCAGCCCCCCATCACATCCCAACTTTGCCTGCTCCAGTTGTGCAGAGCACAGAATGCAATGATTACGTGGGACCTTGTCTGGAATATATTACAAACCCCTCCAGACCGTTCTAAGCATTGAACCTCAACTTCAGGATGGCTGTTAGCTCCTCCATGATTGTGCTGGTGAAGAATGGACTGTAATGAATCAACACTCAACCTCTGTCATCAGCCATGGTTGCAGAAGATACTCCTTGTTTCCCAATAATCATTCACAGATGTAAGGCGTCCACCCATAGAAATGAAGCAGAACATGAGAGTTATATATGCATGATGGCAACTTCCAAGGTATTTGACCTTGTTCTGATGTATGCAGCAGAAACCATGTCGTGTCAGTACAGTAGCAGATTATAACTGCTGTGGGATTTCTGAAACCTTGCCCCTTCCTGACATCACCCAAGAAAGAAAGCATATAAGAGCATGTTGGCAAATGCTTATAGTTCAAAATGAGAGAAGATCAGCTCTGTATTTGTATGAAGCATTGAAGAATTCTACGATTACAGATATCTTAATCCTGTATTGTGTAAGTGCTTGATTAATGCAATTATTCGTTAAAGGACCTCACATCACTCTCAAGTAGAGCAAGCCTTCACGTACAGAAAAAAACTTACTCCACTCACACCAAGCCATTTTTAATTTTCTTTGCTAATTTTCATTTCAGATGAGAATGGAAGGCAACACAAGTTTTGTTTTGAAGCGTGAGTTGCAGGCTCAGCCTGTTAATCTAGATGACTGTCTTCTCCATCTCCACCCCCAAACCTCCATGGCCCTTTCTTCCTTGCACTGTCTGTCAACCCCATGAGTTCTAAACTGTCCCACATCCCCAGCCAACTCTTTAAGAGTTCATCTCCCTACAATACCCACTGAGCCCCAGGCCTACAGCATAGTCATGTCAACCATCTTACAGTGCCCTGTTGCTGAAGCCAGGGCGATGTTGACCTTTAATGACATTCCCTGTCACAGTAGCCCATGTCCTCCAATGCACTATCATCTCCTGCACTTATACAATGAGTTTCTCCTATTACAATTATTGCCTGCTCTGCATTCCAGCATACTGCTTCCAAACCCTCATAGTTGACTTCCCCAACATTCCCACCACAATAGTGGTCCTTGATAACCTACCCCAGCCCCCACTCCCACCCCTAACTGTAATGATATGGAATTCCTGACCCTGACCGCCCCAAGCAGCTGACTTGCCATGTCTAAGGCCCCAGACTGAGAATGGATAATGACCTTGAGTGACTAGAGAACCCCCTAACTGATAACAGTTCCTATTGACATGACTGGGGACTAGTCTCTTAGGTATTGAGACATGGCCGTTTCACTAAAGCACAGTCAGTGTGCGCGCCCCATTAGCTGCTGGTACACGCTGTAGATAAGACACTGAAGTAGCATGGTGCTGTATAGCAATATGTCCATCATCGCAACTGATCATTGCTGAGAAAAATGCAAGCTGCCTGAGTTATGTCTGCACTAAAAAGCAAGACGAGACAATGACTGCAAGCCTGTAAGTTCTGAATAAGGTGGAAATGTACAAAAAGGCAAGGCAGAGATGCTGTAAACATCCAGGTTAGCAGAAAGTGAGTGAATATTCAGGGAAGAAACTAAGAGCCTTTAGATGCACCCTATTCCGATGCATGCATAGGTGCTTGTCCCTGCACACAACTGGCCTGGGAACATCATTGCAATCAAAGGTGTTGGTGTGCTCAAGTGTAGTATTGAATTACTGAACTGTATTTTAAGTGAGTTGGAGTTGTACTGCGAAGAAGTGATGAGGCTGGTCTTTATCTGATGCCAGTGTCCATAGACGAAGGATGCAGTTGGTTGCTGCTCATGGAGCATACCCTAAGATATTGAGGACTGCAAGCCAAGGTGCATCCTGGAGGAGCAAGCAACAAGCTGCAGCTTAATGCACCCATTCATAATTACATGACAGGAATTGTGCCATCTAGTTTCTCTCCATTGCCTGGTAACATAGAAAACAGCATATAAATTAAATGATACTGAGTTGCTAATGAATACATATAAGCCTTACACCACTCACTTGTGAGAATCTTGATGGTTTGTTCAAGCCTTTGGTTAAAAAAAAATCAGATCTTCTTTTCTCAATGCATGAATCTCATTTTTCTGAACTTGACATTTCTTCCCAACTGATTTACCATTTCCCATGTTATTTAGGTGCTAGGAAGATTCCACACAACGTAAATTTTTAAAAAAATAAATATTTATTACTTTTGTGGCACTAACTTTACGGGACAGTAACTCTAGTGAGAGAGGGTAACTGAAGGTTGTTCCTACTAATACATCAGTATTAGCAGGAACTGAGGTGTTGGGAGAATTGATGGGATTGAAGGCTGACAAATCCCCAGGGCTATACAATCTGCATCCCAGAGGACTTAAGGAAGTGGCCCTAGAATTAGTGATCATCTTTCAAGATTCTGCAGACTTTGGAGCAGCTTCTATGGATTGGAGAGTAGCCGATGAAACTCCACTTTTTCAAAAAAAGGAGGTCCAGGGAAAACCGTAAACTACAGATCCATTAGCCTGACATTGGTAGTGGGGAATATGCTAGAGATGATTACGAGAGATTTAGTAGCAGAGCACTTGGCAGGATTGGACAGAGTCAGCATGGATTTATGAAAGGGAAATCATGCCTGACAAATCCATTGAAATTTTTCAAGGATGGAACTAGTAGAGCTAATTGGGGGAGCCAGTGAATGTGGTTTACTTGAATGTTCGGAAAGCTTTCGATAAGGTCTCATAAGAGAATATATGTACAGTTGGGCACAAGGGATTGGGGTAGTGTACTGTCAAGGATAGAGAACTGGTAGGCAGACAGGAACCAAAGAGAATAAATGGGTCATTTCCAAATGAAGCTAATGACTAGTGGGATACTGCAGGGATCAGTGCTTGGAACCCAGCTATACATATAGCATGGTAGCACAGTGGTTAGCATTGCTGCCTCACAGCACCAGGGACCTGAGTTTGATTCCAGTCTTGGGTGACTGTCTGTGTGGAGTTTACATGTTCTCCCCTTGCCTGTGTGGGTTTCTACCAGGTGCTCTGGTTTCCTCCCACAGTCCAGAGATGTGTAGGTTTGGTGGATTAGCCATGTTAAATTGCCCAATAGTGTCCAGGCATATGCAGGCTAGGTGCATTAGCCATGGTTAATGTGGGGCAGTGGGGATAGGTTGGAATGCTTTTTGGAGGGTCAGTCCAGACTTGATAGGCTGAATGGCCTCTTTATGCAATCTAGGGATGCTATTCACTATATATGTTAATAATTAGATGAAGGGAGAAAAATGCAATATCTACAGTTTTGCAGATGACACAAAGTTGGGTGGAAGGGTGAACTGTGAGAGGATGCAGACAAGCTTCAGTGTGATTTTTACGAGTTGAGTGAGTCAGCAATGCATAGCAAATGAAATATAATGTTAATAAATGTGAGGTTATTCACTTAGGTAGCAAAAACAGGAAGGCAGGTTATTATCTGAATGTTGATAGGTTGGGAAAGGGGAAAGTGGAACAAATCTGAGTGCCCCTGTATACCAGTCTCTGAAAGTAAGTATGCAGGTGCAACAGGCAATATAGAAGGCAAATGGTATATTGCCCTTCATAACGAAAGGATTCAAGAACGGGAGCGGGGATGTTTTGCTGTAATTTTGCAGAGCTTTGGTGAGACCACACCTGGAGTGTACAGTTTGGTCTCCTTGAGAAAGGATGTTCTGGCTATAGAGGGAGAGCAATGAAGGTTTACCAGACTGATTCCTGGCACGACAGGACTAACGTATGAAGGGAGACTGGATTTGTTAGGATTATATTCACTAGAGTCTAGAAGAATGGGGGGGAAAGGGGGGAGTAGGGGTGAAGGTATCACATAGAAACCTATAAATTGGAACAGGACTAGGCCAGGTAAACACAGGAAAGATGCACCTGATGACCGGGGAGGCCAAAACCATGGGTCAGAATCTAAGGATTTGACTCTGGTATTGACCGAAGGAGAAGAAGTTCTTCCACAGAGTGTGGGTGAACCTGTGGAACTCTCTGCCACAGAAAGCGGTTGAGGCGAAAACATTGAATGTTTTCAAATATGAGTTAAATATAGTTCTCAGGGCTAAAGGGATCAAAGGGCATGGGGCAAAAGAAGAAACAGAATACTGAGTAGGATGATCAGTTATGATCATATTGAGTGGTGGAGAAGGCTCGAAGGGCCAAATGGCCTACTCCTGTTTCTGCTTTCAATGTCTGTATATTTGTAAGTACTTGTAAAGACATTCTGTCAGATCAATGCCCACAGTACCTGAATGAGGTCGTAGCTCTCAGTCCTCATGAATGCAGAATCCAGCAGATCTTGGTTCAGATCACTTTAAGTATTTTGCTGGGCTCCTCGCAGAGTATTTCCACTTTCATATGCTTTTTCACATCTAATGCTTGGAGGATATCTAAAAAAAAAATCATCTTGCTGAAGCTGATTGATCTGCGATAGAAATGAAACAGCATTCCAAATATTTGTTCCTTAATTCTGCCAGAAATCAGATAGTAACTGAGCATAAAATGCATTTTCGAATATTAAAAGATAGTTCAGAGCAAACCTCAAACTATTTAGGTATAAATATATCCAAAACAAGAACATGAATAAAAATGAAATACAAGTCTGCCCCTTTCATAATGAGACAGGATCAAGTTAACCTTTATAAAGTAAACTAGGTTCCATTCACTGTTACTTTTTAAGCTAAATCAGAAAAAGTCATTTTCTGTGTGTTTTTATAATGACTGTCAATTCATTCTTTTGACTTTGTCTCTTTTTTCTAATATGTTTAAAGTAGTTCAGTTAATTATTATTGGACACAAGTATATCTGGATAGTCTTAAATCAAATAAAATAATAGTAGTTGATGGAAATCATGGAGACTGAAGGGTTAATTGTCAAAGTTCCTTGTATTTTGAAGCAATATGTTTTCCAAGATAAACAGTTTAACTTTGAATGACACTGAGGAACATATTGATGTTGCAGCATATGGTGGCAATACGATGATCACACAACCAGCAAGGAAATCCATTTATGGCTTCACTATATTACGTAGAGTATTGTTTCCCTTTGTGGTGGAAAACAATATTTGCTATGTTGAGCTACTTTGTATACAAAATATTTCATACAGATTTCAATTAAGATACAAATGGGGACTTTGCTCAGATTTGTTCAACTATTTATTCTTCTTACAAGATTCCATCAGAAATGGTTAATCAAATATGAGAGGGTTGAATTTAATGAATTTGGGAAAAGGTCCCTCAACATGAGCTAAAAGAGGAAGGTGAGCCTTCTTCAGCTAGTGGGAACACCTAGTGAAGAACACTAGCGACAGTGGCAAATCCCCAATTAATCATGTCCACCAAGTCACCCCCAAGAGCTGTCACCCAGTTCAAGAGGTCAGCTTCACCACCACAAGTAGTGGATATTGCTGAGGCTATAGAAAGCCTGGCCTTCTCTAAGTCATGTGTTGTTGGAGAACTCTGGGGCCTGGCAAGTGGGCCCTGGCAATTGGTGGGGTGGGGGGGGGGGGGGGGATGTGGGTGAGCAGAGAGAGAGGGTTGTCATTAGATGTCAATGGCACCACTGCCACAGGGGCCCAATACAATAGGGCGGCACAGTGGCTCTGTGGTTAGCATTGCTACCTCACAGCGCCAGGGACCCAGGTTTGATTCCACCCTCAGGCGATTGGCTGTGTGGAGTTTGCACATTCTCCCTGTGTCTGCCTGGGTTTCCTCCGGGTGCTCCAGTTTCCCCACAGTCCAAATATGTGCAGGTTGGGTGGACTGGCCATGCTAAATTGCCCATGGTATCCAGGTATTTTGCAGACTAGGTGGATTATGCAGGAGAAATGAAGGGGTACAGGGATAGGGTAGGGGGTGGGTCTTGGTGAGACACTCTTTGGAGGGTTCGTGTGGACTTGATGGGCTGAATGGCCTGCTTCCACGTTGTAGGGATTTTATGATTCAGTCCATAGAGTGCCCAAGTTTAAGGCTCTTGCTGCGCCCCCTGAAAAGAATAATTTGGAATGTATTAGGAGGCCACCAGGCTTCAACTTGGGTGGTTTCCACACATGTAGACAGTGCTGCACAAGCAAAATGCCTCAATGGTAGTAAATGGTCACTTACATACTCAATTAAACTCCTTACCTGCCATCTTTCCCCCTGACAGCAAATGGCATGGTGGAGGGTACTATCAATCATACTTTGTTTTTCCTTCCTGAACCAACCTCAAAAAACTTTGTCAAATTGGTGGTGAATCCTAGTCACAGGGACTTTAGTGACATAAAAGGAGGCCATTCAGTACATCAAGTCCATGCTAGCTCTCTTTACAGCAATCGAGTCAGCCCTGTTCTAGTCCTCTATTCCAGCAGTCTCGCAGATTTATTTCCTTCAAGTGCCTGTCTAGTTTCCTGTTGAAATCATTGATCATCTCTACTTCCACTAGCCTTGAAAGCTGCAAGTCATAATGATTAATTGTGTACAAACATTCTTCCATTTATCACTCATATCTCTTGCTCAAAACCTTAAATATGTGTCCTAGTAATAGTGATAATCAGCCAATGTGAAAAGCATTTTCCTATATACCTTATCTAAACTTGTTGTAATCTTGTCTACCTCTTTCAGATCACCCCTTGACCTATCAGTTTGCTTTCCTTTGACTGGGTCTAAGGGTTTAATTGCTTTACAGTGGCAGAGGATCAACCACTATTGACATTTAATAAGAGGCTTTTGTCTTAACAAGATGTTATTTAGTGCATAAAAGCAATTGGATACAAGTTACATTTGTTGATATCCATTGCTACTGAAACTGCAAGGAGACCGGTGAATATAGGTCTTTACTCCATGAGATTCTAAGACATTTTGTCTTACGCACAACACCCAAACCACTATGAATCATCAGATTGGTTGGAGCTTAATGCAGTCTATGACATTAACTTTTGCAGCATCATATATATTACCTTTCTTGCCTCCTTTGAACCTTTTCTGTTCCCTTCATGCCTGCTGTCTCTTAATTGCTTGAAGATCTCATGTGGCCAGCTAATTCCTGTCTATAATAGCTCCCACATTTTGTCCTGAGATAGGGACTAGCCAGAAAATTCTGGCCAGAAACTGCTGATGGTTGGACCACAACTAGCAAGTAGAGTGGACAGAAAGAGAGAGTGAGAAAGAGAGACACAATAGTTTAGTGGGTCAGAGTGTGGATGATGGGAGGCTGCAGAGAAAATCAGAGCATTAGTGAGGGACATGAGATCAGAATGTGGTTTGAAGTGTTTGGCCATGTTAGAGCATGAGTTGGCATATCAGTGTTAGTTGATTGAGGGAGATTGGTGGTGAGAGATCAGAGTGTGAATTGGCCAGGGTGAGATAGAAGTACAGGTTGTGGAGGAATTTGGAGCACAAATATGAAATCAGGTTTGCTTGAGGGGCTTGGTTGGAAATTTAAGTATGAATAGAACAGAGAAGTCAACATTGCATAAACAAGAAAATCAGTGCTGAATTATGGAAAATGGTTCAGAGACTTTTGTTTAGACACTTGCTTTACAGAAAATAATATGAACTATTTTATCTCATGGCACAATAAAGCAGCTTTTGGAACCAGTTACTGCTGGGAAAAAGAAATACAAAAATGCTACCTTTAGCAAATCTGCTCAGTTTTTTCTGTGCAATTCAGCAGCTACATGATAGCACTAGCACATAATTACAAACCAAGTAAATACAGACCAAAGATGTGAAGGATAGGTGGATTGGTCATATTGAAGTTGTACATAGTGTTCAGGGCTGTGTAGGCTAGATGGATTAGCCATGGTAAATGTGGGGTTATGGGATATGGTAGGGGGCTGAGGCTGGATGAGATGCTGTTTGGAGAGTTGATGCAAACTTAATAGGCTAAATGGCCTTCTTCTGCACTGTCAGGATTCTATGATTCTATGACTTGAAATGATTTGTAAAAATATTTGCATGCAATAATGGTCCTTACGTTCAAAAATCAATTTCACTCCAGTGCATTGCTTCAAATTTCTGTCATTAAACAACATTTTTGCTGGAACTGTAGAAAACATTGGTTAAGCCACAGCCGAGAGTAATGAGTGCAGTTCTGGAATCCACATGAAAGGAGAGATTGGACAGACTGAGGTTGTTTTCCTTAGGGCAGAGGGTGTTTTCCTTAGAGCAGAGGAGATTGAGGACAGAATGATTGAGATGTATAAAATTATGAGGGGACAGATAGGATAGATGGGAAGAAACTTTTCCCCAATGACTGGGGGCATAGATTTAAGGTAAAGGGCAGGAGGTTTATAAGAAATGTGAGGAGATTATTTTTTGCCCAGAGCATGGTGGAAATCTAAAATTTACTGCCTGATTAGCTGGTAGAATCAGAAACGTTCATAACATTTAAGAATCATTTAGATGTACATTTGCAATGCCAAGGCATGCAAGGCTATAGGCCAAGTGCTGGAAAATGGGATTAGAATAGTTAGGTGATTGTTTTAGTCTATGGTAGACACTACAGTCCAAAGAGCCTTTTTCTGTGCTGTAGATCTCTATGACTATGACTATGACTATGACTATGTTTTTTTTTCTCTCTTTTGAAGTTCTCTCTGGTTCTAACAAATAGCAGTAGATGATTGTTGAAAGATAAAGAATTCAGTATGTTCTGTCCTCTATCCCAAATGTCAGTCTTATTCTAAGTATCAGCATGTATTTAGTCCCTAATGCTCTTATCTTTATGTCTGAGCTTTCTGTAATAATAAAAATAGCCATGCCGTGGCATTTAATTGAAAAATTTTACTTTCTGGTTATCATATAATTCCATTAAGCATTTTTAAGATCTAACCTAAATACTTATATGGATGGGGGCGGGGGGGGGGGGTTGTTGGTATTAGAGCTGAAATGTCTGACAAGATTGTTCTTTCATAATCTCTAACATAGTTTTGAGCAAATGCAGAACACACTTAAACTTCTCAAGAATTCCTTATACCCTACTGATATAAAATTATACCTTTATTATTTTTGAGGTTATCATAGAATAATAAATTGCCTTTAATTTTTATTCCCATTTATATTTATGAAACATTTCTTCTGTTACAGTGCTGGCCCTAAAGGAGACAATATTTATGAATGGAGGTCAACAATCCTGGGACCCCCAGGTTCAGTGTACGAGGGTGGTGTCTTCTTCTTAGATATCACATTTTCACCTGACTACCCCTTCAAGCCACCCAAGGTGTGTATTCCTGAACAGCAACATAGCTCAAAAGCAAAAAGTAATTAATGTAAACTATATGACAATTGGGAAGTATTTTGCATCACATAATGGCAGAAGTTTTCAATGTTTTTCAATCAATCTTACCATTCTAATCCTTTTAGGTTGATTCCCACTAAAAATTCTCATACTGTACCACCAGTTTCTACCCAGCTGAGGATATTAATACCGGAAATTTCTTTG